TCTTTCTCCATGTTGGTTACTTGTCATTTCTTGCTTCAGATATTTGTATTCCACAGTAGAGTAACTTCAAGTATATGTTTGAACTTTCTTGAACGCATTTTATCGGATAAAAGAGTCAAGGACAGAACCGGCGTTAGACGTACGTCCACACCCTTCACTGCCAACAGCACACTGCCTACGTGTCAACAAACATGACCCGTCAACTGTCACCGCAAAAGAGTGCAAGGTAGGAACGCTCGTTAGCGCCCCAAATAGGTAGTTACCGCTGACTTTATTTGCCACTTTATAAGAATGAATATTGATTAATATTTACAAGAAAGTGACATCAATAGCTTGTGCTTAACATACAGAGTGAAATTTGACTAGTTTAATATTATCTACAGTACAGTACTTTACGTTGTACTGTATATTCTTGCCGGGCGCTTTGAAATGCAAAAACAAACGAAACGAACTCACAACCGACATAAGAACGACTCCGTTAACCTCAGTATTCGTGTTTCATATACGAGGCTTAATTTTCACTGTGGAGATAAAAAAATAAATAAATTCATCACAAACATAAACTACAGTTAAAATTTGAGCCGCGCGTAGTTGTAATCTTTCTGTTTCTGAAGCTTAAAATTGATCACTCAAGTTTAACAGTTTAAAATTTATCCTTAAAACATGAATAATAAAATTAGAAGAAACACGTCATATTAATTTAGTTGGTTTTCGCATTTCAGGAGTCAATAATACCAAACAAAATGACAGACTGTTGTGAGTCTATGCAAATCACTGTAGTTATGGGCAGTCATGGAGTGAATTTATCCGAGTATCTGTTATTTTCTATTACATTTTATCTAATATATTACGATTATCAAAGAAAATATTCAATAGAAACTTTCACCATTTCTGAAGTGTTGTCGTAATCAAAGAAAATGGTGTTACTGATGAAGGAGATGACTCATTTGTATTCGTTTAATTATTTTATGTGTTTCTCTATTTCTCTTATACTTCTATCTACATACTTACCTAACCATCAGTTTGTTTAAATCAATAATAAGAGAAAATTAAAAAGTATGAAATTCATGTTTAGGCTTAGACCAAACACCTAAGTGACCACGAGGGCCATGTCTGAGGTGTATGGTGACTACGGGGGCCATGTCTGAGGTGTATGGTGACCACGAGGGCCATGTCTGAGGTGTATGGTGACCACGAGGGCCATGTCTGAGGTGTATGGTGACCACGGGGGCCATGTCTGAGGTGTATGGTGACCACGAGGGCCATGTCTGAGGTGTATGGTGACCACGGGCCATGTCTGAGGTGTATGGTGCCATGTCTGAGGTGTATGGTGACCACGACCACGAGGGCCATGTCTGAGGTGTATGGTGACCACGAGGGCCATGTCTGAGGTGTATGGTGACCACGAGGGCCATGTCTGAGGTGTATGGTGACCACGAGGGGTGTCTGAGGTGTATGGTGACCACGAGGGCCATGTCTGAGGTGTATGGTGACCACGAGGCCATGTCTGAGGTGTATGGTGACCACGAGGGCCATGTCTGAGGTGTATGGTGACCACGAGGGCCATGGGGGCTAAAGACACACAGAAGTTATCCGGTAGGACCAGTGTTTATTGTTTACTGCAGTATCTACACACTCAGTACCACGGACAAAGGTAAAGAAAGCGCCGTTTAGGGAAGCTTGGCAAAGTACATAATTATAATAATTATATTATTCATAATCATGATAAAAACATTAATAATAAATATATTAATTATAATAATATTGATAATATCAGTAGTGGTAATGATAATAATAATAATAATAATAATAATACAAATTAAAAATAATAATAATAATAATAATAATAATAATAATAATAATAATAATAATAATAATAATAATAATAATAATAATAATAATAATAATAATAATAGTAATAATAGTAATAATAATAATAATAACAATAATAATAATTATAATAATAGTGACAATGATAATTTAATACAAAGTTGCCGTAGATGGCAGGAGCCTTGGTGCGCACTTGAGGCGTCCCTGCGTGGCACTCGGGTAGTCCTGGCTTGCCTAAACTGACACGGCGTAGCTTCACCCTTGAACCAAGTTACCTCAAACCAGCATCACGCATTTTTCCATGAGTGAACATGGGCTTGGTTCAGAGTTTGACAATTTTCCCCACACTACATCTAACACATGAACATTTGTAACTACATAGTAGGACAAGAAACGGAACAAAACCATTGAAGCATCAGCAAGGTGAACATGCACAGAGAAGTTGTCCATGCGCGGCTCTACAGCCCCTGGCCTCACTCCTACACACACACACACAACACACATCTGGCATGGCTCAGTTCTTCACTCGTTGATATACAACAGTGTATCATCTTAACACTGGTGATGACCACACTGAGTCACACTGAGGGGGGAGTGCAGCAGGACCATAGAAAATGGGGGTTGTGCCCCCGAAGGTGGGGCTGCGGGGGTGAGCGGGCCCGCAGTATTGTACATAGTCTGACACTGCAGCACTACCAACATAGTACCCGACCCTTAATAATTTATAAAGACGACAACATGACAACAACAGTCTATTGAACACTACTTATTGATAATTCATACAATAGTACAAAGAAGATGGCTGGGACGTCTGCATTTATTATGTCTTTTAGACACCATTTTAAAATGTACATGAAACTCGTATTTGGCCATTTTGATGGACACCAATCCGTTTATCGACCTGGCGAGGTCGTAAGTTGAGTCCAACAGTCCGCTTGCGGTGTGGTGCCGCGCGGACTGCGGCGTGTCCGTGTGGAAGACTGCGGGTGTGCAACGGGTGGGTGCGGCCTCAGGGGGGAGCCAGGCTGCGGCGGCAGTGGCGTGAGGTATATGGGCAAGGCAACTGCGGTGCGCTCCGCCCAGAGGAGGCGCGACAACTTACGGGCCCCTGAGGCCGCCCCGTCTGTCCTGTGACCTGCAGTTTTGATACCTGTTCCTTGTGCGGGAGTCGGTGAGTAGCAGCTCACAGTGGCCACACCACCACAGTCGCCACCCTGGCCGTCACTATTATGCTTACACACGTGGCGAGGGGCGTCGTACAGGCCACGCCCGCGGCCGTGCGAGCCGCGCTGCTGACGTCATCACTAGAGAGCAGAATCGGGGCATAAGCGAGTTGGGGAGGGAGCCAGGGAGGGCACGAGGGGGTAGGCCGCCCTGTTTGTAGTCGGGGGGTCGGGGCTCCCCGCGTGTAGTAGCGGGGCATGGGGGATGGGGGGCCCCACATGTGGTGGCGGGACAGGGGGTGGGGCCCTGCTTGTGGGCGGCGGGGTCCCTGCTACTGCATCAGCTGGGTGAGAGCCGGGTCATCTAGCAGTGGATGTGACGGTGTTAACGGATGCTGAGTGGCACATGGAGGAACTTGGGGAATCAAAAACGCTGATGTAACTGGAAACTAACGAGAATCAAACTTCCAGGGCACTGGTGAGTTGAACAAATGAACAGGAGACATCAATAACTTTGGTAGCGGTCTGGCGGAAAGAGAGAATGAGCGCCTCGGTAAGCCCTGGGGCAGTCGTCCATGTTGACCCCCGGCAAGAGGGGAGGGGGGCTGTGAGCAAGCAGGTCTCTGGTCCACGTCACAGCGTTATGTTAGTGCTACGTTAAGTGTTACAACACAGCGTTACTCTCATAGAGTGTTCCAGGTAAGACCTGGTGCTGCCTCACCCGGGTGGCCCCGCCCAGCGTCAACAGGTCGTCAGACCCTCAATACAAAAATTAAACCTTTTAGGAACGAGGCCACCCGGTCCCCATGGATGACCCGAGAAAGGGTGTAAATATATATATATCTATGATTCTTTCACAAGATGAGACCAATGGATAGAAGTTGATTTAGATAAGGGAGACCACAGTTGGCTTGAAGTCTTATCTCAATACTATTTAGTTGATACAACCAAGAAATCAAAGAAATAATGCACTCTAAATGGTCAAACGACAAGTTAATAATTAGGAAAATTCACTAGGAACTTGCATTATCCTTTGTGTTTAATATTCCTGATACCGGTGGATCTGTCGGCAGACTATGGAACTTTGAACGAGGCGTGATGTGGCGGGGCAATTGGTGGTGGTGGCGGGAAAGTTGGTGGAGGTGTAAGAAAATTGGTGGTGGTGGTGGTGGGAAAATTGGTGGAGGTGATAAGAAAATTTGGTAGGTAGTGGCGTGAATAAATGAATTGTTGGCTGGGGAATTGGTGGTGGTGTTGGAGAGGAGATTGTTGTTAGTGGTGGGGAGAATTGTTGTTGATGACTATAGGAAAATTGGTGATGACGGGAAAAATTCGTGGTGATGGTAAAGGGGAGGGGCGGAAAAAGGTATTGGTGATGGAGGAAATTTTGTTGGTGGTTAGGGGAAAAATTGGTGATGGTGGGGATAAATTTCTGGTGGGGGAAAATTGCTCTGACTGGTGGGGGAAATTTGATATTGGTGGTTGGGGAAAAACTAGTGATGGTGGGGATGGGGAAATTTTGTTGTTGATGGCTTGGGTGGGGAAGGGGGGTGGGGTATTGGGTGTGTTGATGGCTAGGAGGGGGTGAAAATTAAGAACAGGGGCGGGAGGGAGGGACCGGGTGGGGGGTGAAACCGGGTTGGACTGGCAGGGAAAATAAAAGATCGCAGTGATGGAAAGGCGAGTCATTACCGCGGGGAATTTTTTGCACTTCCCGGGAAAAAAAAATCATCAAAGTGGCGGAACCTTATTTTCTAGTTTGTATTGTTTATGCTGGTGATTAACTTGTTCTACAATAACAACTTTTAAACAAATATTTTTTTTTTCATAATAACAAGTGTGGGATGAATGTACGTTAAGAATAATAAGAAATAAAATAAATTACTGTCATTATCATCGATATTAATTACTGTAGGTTCAAAAGACAGAACTACAAATTGTATGTCATTAGGGAGAATACATCTATGTATTCTGGATAACACTAGAAAAAAAATCCCCTTTTTTTTGTTCACTAACACTGTGCCAACGATATATTTGTATTATTAAACTGTTTTGTTATACAGGCAACTGTAAAATTTGTGTTTTTTTTTTTAAGTTTTTAAGAAAGAACATAAAAAAAATTATATAGATACTTTAAGTCAAAATCGTAGCACTGAGACACGACATTGAATAACAAAAGTTGTAAACAGTAAATTTAGCCAACAGAGAACAGATTTAAGTAAGTAAAAACAACAACAAGTGTAACCGATCATAACACGATGAGTTTAGCGACGAAAACGGGGAGGTGAACTTGAGGATTTTGGAGGAATATTAAATTTTGTTAAGGATAAAGAATAGGTTAGGTTATTTAAGTAAACATTACGGGGGGAGGATGAGGGTAGGTGAGGGTCTTGTGATAAGGTTAAAGCAGACGAAGATTGTTGAGAGGATAGAAGGGAAGGAAAGAGGGAGGGAGGGGGGGGGGGACAGGTAAGGACTGGACTGGGGCTGTTGGTAATTAGAACTAGAATTACACTAATCTTAGTAAAGGATCTAGAAAAGTTATGGTTCCGGATCTATTGCTACGGTCTATGGAGTAGTAGTAGTAGTAATAGCAGTGGTAGTAATAGTAGTAGTAGTAGTTGTAGTAGTGTTGGTGGTAGTTATAGTAAAAGTAACAGTAGTAGTAGTAGTAGTAGTAGTAGTAGCGGTAGTGTACAAACATTAATTGATTCTAGGACTATTGGTGGTGGGAACAGTAGCAGCATTTAACGGTAAACTCTGATTGCAGGAACAGTCAACAGTCAATCGGTTTGTTCAGGAAGCTTTGAAGGCTAAAATTACAAAAATCTCCATGAAGCTATAAAAAATCTTACTATTCAATCTGTACATCACTGAAAGTTATGGCTAAGAGTACCAGAATCATGACTTCTAGGCTATGTTAGCTAAATCTAAGGTGGCGCTGGGAGCGACCCTTGTTCTTGCCTTCAAAGCTACTTGAGGGAACATGTACACTTATTACCATATTGCGCAGATGAATCATAATCAGAAAATTAGACACTTAAAATGTGGAACTGTATAAACATATTTCTTTTTTTAATAATTACACACGCGTAGGTACTATCCGCATGAACTAAGGTAAATATACATATTCAACAATGATGGTACCTTAGTCTCTTATTATTTCCAGTAGCAGCACGACACCTGCTTGGCTCTGAAACTTCAACAGACTCTGGTTTTCCGACAGTGAGCAATTAACATTTGAAAACCTGTAACTACGTAAGGTCCACAACAACACTCGTCGAAGAACTGTATCATATGAGCAGGAGATTAACGTGTCTTCCGACATGAGCGAGATGAAGGATCCAGCAGATTACGCAGGCGTCTTTTGATGGAGGGAAAGTGGACGTCATTCTCACATTTCATAGTCAAGTATCAAGGTGTCCAGAGCTTCTTCTGTTGCCCCGACCGCAGGTAGTGAACACATAGGTCACCATGGGCGGCGGGGCGGTGATGGCCTGGGTGGGTGAGGCCGTGTCTGGCCTCAGGGGCAGGCCGTGCTGTGCTGTCCGGCCCCAGTAGGGTGTCCGGGACGCCGTACTGCTGCCGGTGGCTCGTTGGCCACGGGAGGCAGTCACACCTCACTCACAACTCGAGAGGTTCATTATTTTCAGGAGATCTTGTTTGATTGTATGCTTGCATTAGGACCTTTTAATATTTTTTCTACACTCGGCTGTGCAAAGCTTAACATGCACCAATAAAGGCGCCATATTATGCAATAATATGTATAAAGATATTTTTATTACAGGTACACAATGACTGCAATCAAGTCAAGCCATGGAAGCAATATGTAGGTATGGTATACAGCAGCGCCTGCCTCATTGATCATGTGAGGGCCACTGAGCCTGGAGGCGATGGTGCCCGAGGTCCTGGGCCTCCTCGGTGCTGGGCCCTCCTGTGCCAGCCGGAGCGCCACTAACACACCCCAACACCTCACCTTCTCTGTAGGTATTGAGTGTCACACACCGCTGGTCCCTAAAATTGCACTTAAAGTAACTGTGAGGAACTGTCGGGAGGGCGACTTTTGGAGCGCCTGGGACGTGACGGCCACGGTGGCAGGGCTAGGCGGGGGGCGTCGGGCGGCCCCCTGCCTTAGCCGAGTCCTCCACGCTCAGCCACCCTGTGTAACAACAACAACTCAAGGAACTAACACAGAGAAGTGATTATTAAATTAATACATAGTTCCTGCGAGGAACCATTTCATTTTATCACAGCTAAAAATACGACAACACAACAGAACAAAGGTGGAACCGAGGCGATGTGACAGACAGACACACAGTCATGACACGTTCACCGGAGGACTAGTACGGGCGAGTGGCGGGGGGTGTTGCTCCCAGGCTGGGGGCAGGCTGGTGTAAGTTCAGGCGCTCTGCTGCTGGGGTTGGTGTTGGGGGGGGGCAAGGGGGAACCCCAAGGGACCGGGCAGGGAGGAGGCCAGGGCACGGGGGTCACCATGGAGTCGCAAGGCTTGTTCCATACGCATCTCCTGTAGACGGATGGAGTCGGTGAGATCCCCCTGGTGCTGCGGGGAGGGGCGGCCTTCATGGTTCACCAGCCGCAGTGCCGCCTCTGCCTGGGCGCTCCGGAGGGCGGACTCCATACCGCCCATCCTTGGGTCACGCATGTCACGCATGTCGGGCTGAGGTGATCCCATGGGCTCTGCGGCCTGGTGGGCATTCTGCTGTTGTTGCTGTTGCTGTTGTTGTTGCTGCTGCTGTTGCTGTTGTTGCTGTTGCTGTTGTTGTTGTTGTTGTTGCTGTTGTTGTTGCTGCTGTGTGGGAGGTGGTTGCAACGATTGGCCATGCGGGTTGGAGAGTGAACGGATAGCTTCTGCTTGAGAGGCCATGACGGAACGGATGGTCTCGGCCTGCGAGGTGAGCGTCGACTTGACCAGCTCCGCCTGGCTCTGACTGATCATGGCCCGCATGTTGTCGGTGGGTTGTGGGCGCATCTGGTTCATAACGTCGTGATGGCTGGTGATGGAGCGCAGAGCGTCCGTGGGTGACGGCATACGACCCAGCCCAGTCTCCAACTTTTCGGCGGGCGTGGACATCCGGGAGGAGGCGTCGCTCTGAGTGGACGGCGATGCTGCCATGGACATGGGCGCTGCTTGGTGTTGAGCATGGTGCTGCATCTGGTGCGGCATTCCCATGCCCATTCCCATACCCATGCCCATGCCCATGCCCATTCCCATGCCCATATGATTGCCGCCCCCCTGGAGACCAACTTGAGCCAGGCCAAGAATGCTCTCTCGCTCGCGTCGCTCGGCGGCGGCCCGGGAGAGAACGTACTGCGCCGCGAACTGATGTTTGGGGTCCATGCGCATGTGCTCCATGTGGTTCAGCAAACCTGCAACACAACCACAAGTTACTAACACACGTCACCCTCACCCTAAACTACAGTACATCCTAACTATATAAATAACACATAGATGGGTAATATTTGGCTGCGGAATTTATAATAAAAATGATTAATATACCTTCAGTGTGTCTTACACACACACAGACACATCCATAAATATACATACACACAAACATACACATACACTCACACACATATATACACACACATAGAGTACATACATAGACAGACAGACAGACACACAAAAGGAACTTGATGAGGAAGAATAGAATCAGTCCATAAACTAATTAATTTCAAGTTTTATGACAGTACAGGTAACATCCCAATACGTAATTAACTCTCATAAGAAAATCAGTTCAACGCGGCACTTTTCATGTGAATAAGTCAATCATGTCTAAAAATAATGAACTTAACCTAAGCTAACCTAAACTAATCTGAAATGACCTTAAATTACTTCACGATGGGTGAAATGTTTCGTGTGTGTGTGTGTATATATATGTGTATATGTGTGTGTGTGTGTGTGTGTGTGTGTGTGTGTGTGTGTGTGTGTGTGTGTGTCCCAAGGTAAGAATGTAGCAATTACTCAGGTCCTGTACATCATTAGTTACCATGACAACCATAGGTGAGGTGGGGGATGGCCACACTACTCACCACTAACATAAAAGAGGATGGCCACACTAGCCTCCACTACAGGTGAAAATGGCCACACTGCATACTATCACAAGTGAAGCTGTGGCCATATTAGCCTCTATGTAAAGTGAGTGTGGCCAAACTAGTTGCCAACATATATCAAGATGGCCACACCAGCCTCCACCACAGATGAGGATGGCCACACTCTTCCTGAACAGATAAAGATGGCCACACTCTTCCTGAACAGATAAAGATGGCCACACTCTTCCCGAACAGATAAAGATGGCCACACTCATCCTGAACAGATGAGATGGCCACACTCTTCCTGAACAGATGAAGATGGCCACTATGCCTAAACAGATGATGGCCATACTACTACAGATTCAGCTAAACTCATTAAAAAAATCAACCTAAATTCTGTCATAATCTCACTCCTATAACACGTATTTAATTTTGATATCGTTTATATGACCTGACAAGATCCAGGAAGTCTTAAGAGCCTAAACTACTGCCGAATAATATAATGTTCTTTATATTCTTCTAAGTCAGACAAGGGAAAAAGGAACTTGAAATTTGACACTATTATCTTAATTCAATTTAATTATCTGTTCTAAATACACAATAGGAATACACATACATATATACATAAATACATACATACATATATGCATACATACACGCACACACACACACTGGAAAAATCGTATCAACCTGTGGAACATTACATACGGTAGCAGAGCTTAAGGTTGATTAGTGATACACAGTAAGGTGTGTGTGTGTGTGTGTGTGTGTGTGTGTGTGTGTGTGTGTGTGTGTACAAAGCTCTGCCAAACGTGGACCAGAACTCGCCCAGGTACACATATCAAATCCTGTAATAATGATTAACCTGCTGTAATATTCTTCTCTTAGTACTATAACTGTTTGTTAACTTACATACATGTGTGTTTGTGTGTCTGTAACTTCATTATTAAATAAACACAGTTAACTTAAGTCCTGTAAATGAATCACTTTAAAATCCATTCTTTAACTTTAATCACACACACACACACACACATACACACACACATATATATATATATATATATATATATATATATATATATATATATATATATATATATATATATATATATATATATATATATATATATATATATTAATAGTAAATACTACCAGATATGAGGGAGGATTTTCCATATGTTGTGTAGTAAATCAGAAACACACAACAAAGAGTAAATAGTCCTTTTCAATCACAATTCTAATGACATGTTTCAGTAGGACTAAATACCACAGTTGTAATATAAACCTTAAGATTAGTGAGTTAATTGTAATGTCAATACCTGTACCTTGTGGCACAGCAGTACACTATATGTTGTCACCTCAGGACACTACCGTGACGTGAGCTTATTACACAGACAGCTACAGTATGTTGTGAACTGACACAGACAACTGTCAGGAGAATTATGACATAATAAACTATCAGAGACTTACGAAAAGTCAGCGGGTGTTGAGTCACTAAAGAGAGGGAGGAGACTGACCTGACTCGTGGGTGAAGACGGCATGGCAGACAGAGCATGGCCACATCCTGAGGGAGGAGGTGAACTGCGAGGTCTCGGGATGGCAGGCCAAGTGCTTGCGGAGACTGCCTTCGTTCACGTAGTGCTTGCCACAGACAGGGCACGAGTGTGACGCCGTGCGACGCTTGGCTGTAAGTATGACACACATTAGCAACACGTTCCACACCAAGTAACAAACACTACAAGAATAAGTAACGTTTCTGTTTCATAGAACAATAAATATAGAATTAAATTAATTTAAAAGTGGAAAATATTCTGCAATATAGCATCATTAATGTTATAATTATAAACATTCAACCTTAAATACATATAAATATATTTATATATCAGATATATCAGCATGGACAATAGGAGTGGTGGCTGGTGCTTGGGATGGGGGCGGCGTCACCGTCCGTCCTCTGTGGCACACATTACCTCCGACGCCGGAGGCGTTGGGGTCCCTGTGAACCACCTTCATGTGCTCCATGAGCTGCTCGCCGCTCATGAAGTACTTGTCGCATTGTGGGCAGTGGACGGCGTTAGGGCCGCCGATGTGGATGGCGTGCTGTGAAGATAACGACAAACAATAGAATGAGGAAGTTAACTAACCTGCCACTCCCGAGGCGTTAGGGTCCCTATGCGTAAACTTCATGTGTTCCATCAGCTGCTCGCCATTCATGAACAGTTTCTGGCACTGAGGGCAATTGACAGCGTTGGGGCCGCCGACCAGGGCCGCGTGCTGTGGGAGAGAGACCACACAGGTGAAGCCCACTGTTCTGCCTCGTACCTCGCGCCTCTCACCGCGCTTCTCACCGCGCCTCTCACCACGCCTCTCACTCCTAACATACAAACACGAAGGACCAAAATGCCTCATATCAACCACTTACCAACCCACTCATAAACAAACTGTTCGTCATCACCATCATGTTAACGAGTTCTTCTCTCCCACAAGACTTATCACGTTCTAGATCCTCACCACCAGGGAGGCTCGCAGTTTATCGCTTATGTGCCAGCGTCGCCACAACACGTAGTTACGAGCACATTATAAGATCTTTCACTTAACACGGTGTGGCCAACGAGGTCCAGCGTGAACGGCGGAGGGGGTATGGGACAAATATTTACCGATAATAATAATAATAATAATAATAATAATAATAATAGTAATAATAATAATAATAATAAGTTGTGCCATTGTGTTCAACGGTGGCGCGAGACATGACAATCAGTGAGGGCCCATCTCCTCTTCTCTGTTATCGCTCCTATTCCATGAGACGTTCAAATGGCGCGCAATGAGTGTGGTAAGCCTGTACATAATATACCTCACGTTACGCATATCAGAATACCTAATTGGTTGGTTTGTAAGGAGAGGGTGGGGGGGTGTGGAGGGCAAGATGACAATAGCATCTGTTACATGTAAATAAAACTATCTATATATAACTAAACCTAATTACACCGGCATAAATATAATAATATATGCATACAGTATAAACTACTTACTTAGTTGCCTTCTTCTGTCTTAGGTGTGGCAGAACATGACATGATATACAGTACTTAGTAAATAATAGTAATAATAATAGTATAGGTGTTTTTAGTAGTTTAGATAGTTATAAAGACATATGTTTTTTAAAGACAAAGAGACTAGAATTATAAGCAGCAACAGTACAGGCTACGACTAAGCTACACACACACACACACACACACACAGGATGAGACAGACAGACATACACATACTTCCATAAAACTGAAGGGAGAAATATATAAACAAAGTCACCTAAATCACTAGACACACGTTATTATGGATCAACCTATAGCGAAGCTTGTGTTAATATTAAGCAAATCTAACAGACTTTAATGTAAAATCTCAGGTTAATGTAAGAACACAAACATGCCTTCCAAATATTCCCAAACACTCGTAATATACTGGAGGTGTTAAGACGTTACACAGCCTATGATAGAAGAGGGACTACTGTATCACATTCTCTGACCCCTCCGGTCCTGTCCACTGTGTCATGTAGTAGTAGAGGTGGTGGTGAGCCAGGCGATGCTGACGTGCGGGGTACTGAGACAAGAGGATGACGATGACTACCATTAGAAGGGCGGCAGTCGTCTCTCCAGGGAATGGGGGGGGGGAGTGACACAGTGGGCGTGACCGAATGTTGGTTAGAGAACTGTGAGTGAAACACATAGAGGAGATAAAGGCAGATAAGAGACCAGAGGCCCCCAACAACCTGCACTCCTGGGTCTCTACCTTGGATGTGTGAGTCCTCAGCGAACTCTCGGTGGCGAATCCCTTGCCGCAGATGTTGCAGTGGAACGGCCGGTTCTTCATTCGCTCCAGCTGGGCGTCGTGGTTCCTCAAGTGCTGCTGCAGGTTGGACAGCTGGATGAAGGCGCGGCCGCAGTCCGGAATGTGGCATTTGTAGGGTCGTTCACCTATGGAAGAGAGACCAACACTAATAAATGACCCGTCACCTGTATCACCTGTCATAGTGCTACTCTAACCCACCAGAGAAGTGAATGTTATCACCAAAGGTGAATTTTACTACAGCTTCTAATTAATAATAGTAATGATATGATAACTGATAATAATAAGGCCATCAATGCTAATAATAATTAATAATAGTAACAATAACACTGATGATAATTATAATAATGATATACTGTATATAGCAGAGATCAACAGGTAAGTATATCACACAGGAAATACATCAGTTTAGTCAAATAAAAGGAAATTACTAAATTACACATCATTTATACAGGTTTGTCACTATACCTGTGCTGAGGACAAATATGAATGGAACAACACTTTTTCATTTGAGATATAATTTACCTGTGAATAATACCAACATTATTTAGCTTCGGGACAAAAGTGTTGTAACGCCTTAATTATTTTTGTTGAAAAAATGTAAATTAACTTCAATTTCCCATAGTAAATAGACATAAAACTAAACGATCTAGAGTTATTTCAGTAACACACCAGTACTGGGATCTATAGTATCAACTAATTTCCTCCATCAAACATTAAATTATGAGGTTTTAATGATTATTTTTCTGGGGTAGTCCGCTGTCTTGTTAAAATGACAAAATAAAAATAAAATCTGGAGATAGAAATTTACCTAAACATCTCAACGGTAAACAACATGAAACAAGTCCTTGAAAATAATACAATAAACTGCTATTATTTCCTTCATATCTACACAATGTTATAAGCTACTGTACAGGGAGGAACAGTACACATTCCTTACATAAGTTTGGAGGTAAATAGTAATAGGTTGAGTAATAACATCCACCTGACGCTCATAAACACCTGCCGTGGTTTGTGTGGAGGTGTCAAGCTATGAGTGTGTGAGGGTCGATGGGTTATAAAGTGTATATTGGAGTTACCGTAGTTAGGACTTAGGATCTCAGGTGTATAATGGAGTTACCGTAGTTAGGACTTAGGATCTCAGGTGTATATTGGAGTTACCGTAGTTAGGACTTAGGATCTCAGGTGTATAATGGAGTTACCGTAGTTAGGACTTAGGATCTCAGGTGTATAATGGAGTTACCGTAGTTAGGACTTAGGATCTCAGGTGTATATTGGAGTTACCGTAGTTAGGACTTAGGATCTCAGGTGTATATTGGAGTTACCGTAGTTAGGACTTAGGATCTCAGGTGTATATTGGAGTTACCGTAGTTAGGACTTAGGATCTCGGGTGTATATTGAAATCATCGTAGTTAGGATCTCAGGTTCCTCAATCACCCTATAGTTCTCCCGGTCACAACCAATGATCTGTGTGGTCGTGTGCTGTGTTGTGTTTACGATGTGATTTTATAATATTTAAGTAATTACAATATATGGAACCAGGTAAGTATATTTATGTAAAGCAGAAGAGTGGTCTATGAGGGCTAGTCCCCCCCCCCTACTCGCCTCCATTCTCTCTTTCTAAACACTTATTAGAGAGAGAGAGAGAGAGAGAGAGAGAGAGAGAGAGAGATACAAATGAGTTTCACTAATACTTCCTGAGCAGGTACACAAAAAAGCCTCGGTAAAGACGACAATATACATTTAACATTTACAGAGGCTGGTGGTCGTCGTTAACACCCCAACATAATGGGGCAACGTTCACATGTAAATATTGACGATAATAATAATAATAATAATAATACACGCTGTTACTCAACCTCAACGCAAGATATCACATGTTATCAGCGACAATATCACACTATCACTCGAATAATAGCACCATGACCCCAATCACTGTCTTCTGCAGGTTATAACACTAGAGATACCGTGAGAATGTTACGTCATCATTCACTCTCTATGAACCTTCCATCGTCTCTCATAAAATAACAAACATTATATAAACCCAATGTTAAATATAAATAAAAACTCATAACAGTGAGAACAGTTTAATAACATGTGACAATACCAAATAACAATTGTGGTCATGAGTTAAGGGAAAAAATACGACTTTGTGACAATGAAAGTTGATGGTATTTTTTTTTTTTGCTGCTTCTCTACCTTCTTGATTTTATACCAACTAAAACTTGGAAAAGACGAGGGTAGGGAGGAGTAGGGAGGGACGGAGAGGGGGAGGGGTGAGGTAGGTTGACCGACGCAGGACTAAGGATTTCCGCAAACACAAAATCCAGAAACTCATTACAGAGTTTAAATATTAATGGTTCGAGTGTAGGCGGGGTTGTGTGTGGGAGGGGAGGGTGAGGGGGGGTATGGAAGAGAGGAGGTGAGGGAGGAAGGAGAGGAAGTGAAGGAGGAAGGAAGGGAGGAAGGGAGGGAGGGAAAGCTAGAATTGATATAGTGGTTGGGGGGGAGGGTTGGAATAGGAGGTGAGGGAGGAAGAATAGGAAGTGATGGAATGAAGGGGAGGAGAGAGGTAAGAAGTGGTGTTGGTGGGATGGAGGAAGAGTAGATGACAATTGAAGCGGAGGATTGAGATGGATTTCAAGAGTAGGATAATACCTGAGACGATTAGAGGGAAGATGCTTTATAAGGCATGGTGTGGGTTGGTGGGCAGGGTGTGGGTTGGTGGGCAGGGTGTGGGTTGGTGGGCAGGGTGTGGGTTGGTGGGCAGAGTGCGGTTGGGCGAGGGTGTGGGTAGATAAGCAAGGCGAGTGTGGGGTGGTTGGGCTTGGGTGTTGGTGATAAAGGGTGTAGGTGTGCAGGGTGTGGGTGAACGAGGTTGTGGGCGGGTAGGGTGCGGATGAGCGAGGGCGTAGGCGTGTTGAGCCCGAGGGGCAACAACACTAAGGGTAGCGGCTGGGGCCACTGAACAAGGGCCATCTCGACCCACTCATGGGACCACCAGGGGGCCTTGGTGGCCATCTTCAGACACCAGTACCTTTACAATTCAGCCAAGAAAATGGCCGAATGAATAATAGGTTGGCAACTCATGATTTTTATTCATATTCTGGGGAAATGACACGTGAGTCAAATTTTCCTGGCAGGTAAAGCTGGGTCGGTGTCAACATGAGGTGGGTCAACCCTTTAAAGTTATCCCTGTCCAGTTATGTTGGGTCTATGAGTCCCTATGTTGTCCCTTCTCAAAGGCTTCCTGTCAAACACTATAAACAAAAACGCAGTGGTGTGCGTTCTTGAAGCAAAAAAAGGTCGATTTAATCATCAACGTGCTTAAGGATGCAACTTTCCCGCACGGGGAGATGCGCAAGGAAGTCCGCGATTGGCTGAAAGTACGGAGGGAGGAGCCAATCAAAGAAGCGTAAGTGGAAGAAGGCGGGAAAACTTTCAGACTTGTCCTGCCATCTAGCGGTATGCACGAGCATTAAAAGGGCGCGCATTTTGTCTTAGACGGTCAGAGACTTTCGTCGTCAATACAAATTAACATAAATATTAAACAATGCATGATTGAAACCCGTTTTTATTAAGAGAAATTCACTGGTTCGCGACTATTGATTTTTGTTGTTAGAAAACGGGTAAATAACTTTGAGAACCAAGACCTGACAAGAAGACATTAGACAAAGTATGTGTTCTCAGAGCAATTCTCGCCGACTCTCCTGACAAACCTAACCACAACTATACTTTCCATTCATTAGAATACCTACAACTTTATAAACATGATAGTCACTGGCAGAAATTGACCATGCGACACCACCCACCATTACACATTCCTTGAGGGTTGAGATGGAGGAGTGAGTATAAGGGTGGGTGCTGTGGGGCAGGGTGTTGGTAGCACTGTACTGCCAGGGCTCCACACACCGCTTTGGTACTACTGAACGAGGAAAACTTTGCTGGTTTAACATGGCGACCAATTTACGCAGACTTATCATACATATTGAGTAGAGTCTTTTATTATTCTCCCGTCAAATGACCTTCTGAAGAGACGAGATAAATAATATATTGACAAACTACACTACTCTACCCATACAGCGTTAAGAGACCACAGGAACACAGAAAAAGAAAATCGATGTTTATTACCGTTTTATATAAAGTCACTGTCAACACACACACACAGACAGACACACAGGCAGACAGACACACACACAGACAGAGTAAATGCATTCAATATCCATCAATGTCCGATCCGATTTGTTGAACATCGATCGATCGCGACCACTCAAGGCTCGACGGTCGATTCATCCTGGGAGCTAGCAACCTGACTCTTGGTAATGTTAAGCTCCATGGTTAAGATCGACGGTATACTGTGTGATCCATAACAATATAATGACATTGGTTAAGTAATATAATGATGATGATGATGATGATTTAGTGATAACAATGAATATACAATAATCGATAACCAGATCATCAACACACACACGTTCTCTTATCAGCCACCTCACCCCTAACTCACAGGGCGTCCACCACCTCACCCCTAACTCACAGGGCGTCCACCACCTCACCCCTAACTCACAGGGCGTCCACCACCTCACCAGTTTTATGAGTACTAAAAGTCGTTGAAGGAGATATGTAAAAAAAAAAAAAAAAAATGTCGCACATAAATGACATAATCAGTCAGGATGAAATAAAGGGTCACGGGCCATAAAAACTAACGAAGGGGGAGCAACATATCTGCAACATTGCAATATGCAAATGAGGTGGGGGAGAGGCACAGAGGGCTAAACCAGGCACATTAAGAGACTCCAGATAATGGCCCGAGCTGAGATGATTGTAAGAGTGTCTGAGAGAGAGAGAGAGAGAGAGAGAGAGAGAGAGAGAGAGAGAGAGAGAGCCAGCCAGCCAACCAGCCTGTTCAACAACCACAAAAGTAGTAGACAACAGTAATTCCCAAAGTATAAAACAACACAAGTACAACTTTTCTCTCGCGGTATATTTCAGAGGTGCAAATGATCGGAAAAGGAGACTTAATTTGGCATGCACGGTAGAGAGCGGTACACTAGTTATTAAACAATTTCCTAACTCAATTTCAATTTACACAAGTTCTATTAGACTGCGTGTATTGAAACTCGCAATG